CCGTTTTAAAATAACAAAAATTATTTTAGTGAATGAGGACTTAATAAGGTTTTTTTAAAGATTTTAGCATTATAAATTCTTCGGTGAACTTGTTCCTAAAAATCTCCATCATTAGCTTTTCCCGCCAATTGATTTGGACTATGGGTTGCAATGATTTAGCTAAAATTTGAAACCTGAATTTTCTCCTCGGATTTACTAAAGTTTGTGTTCCAAAAGTTCCAACATCTTAAATTATGCAGCTCTTGAGCTGAACACTCGAACGTACAGTCACATAAGCAAACATAAGTAGATGAATATTATGCATATGCAGAAACAAACACGAATTTACCATCATGCACCTTAGACAAGCAGAATATGCAAAAATGTATAGAAATGTATAATTCCTGAAGTATGCAGTTACTAGATTTATGCAAAAATAAATTACTTGCAACGATTTGTCAGCAATATTTTGGATACGTGAGAAGCACAAACGGTCTGTTTTAAAGTTAACTTTGCTTAAAAACAATTCTCATATCGAATTTATTTGTTCCTGGAAATTACGTGAGCGTTTTAAACTTCGTTCCTGCGAATATTTTCCAATTCATTTTTACAGCGCAGCATTTTTACAGTTCGGAATGAGCAGGACTGGTTGTGTATAGCCTGAAAATGGGTCTCCTGAGCAATACATCTTGAACAATCATCTTCTGAGTCACACGCCTTCTTTCAAAGACTGCTTGAAAAGCACGCCGAAAACAGTTTGAATCACATACTTTTTAGACAAAATAGTGTCGTCAGAATGTGATCCTTTGATTTCTACAGATTCTGAAGAGTCCGAACAAGGAGCTAGCACCTACTCACTTTTCTACGACACTGCCTTGCAAGACAAAATAAGACTAGGCACTCAGCGTGGTTATGTGTTTTTGGGAAATCCTGTAGTGAATTCATAAGGAGTGAATGCTACAAAACATTGTTTCCCTGCCGAAGGAGTTTTTTGATCCATTCTAATTTTGGATTTATTTAAAATTACATTGCCAAAGTGTGAATTCATAGGCGTTTGTCTTTTGATTCACCGTTCGGAGTTATCGAAATTAGGCCGAACTCCTCAGGGAATCAGGTGCAGTGCAGAAGTACAATATTTTGGGCTTTATCTTACAGAGATCAATTATAAACGATGGACTTCAACAATACGACAAGTTCGCGTTTGACCAATTTTGCGCTGGAGTACAATCAGCCTATAGAGGTTTCTTGCATGCTTTTAATTGAGCACTTCACTTCTTCGCGAATACTTGTCTCGTAGCTTTTTCCAAAAAGAATTTCAAGGGCAGGCAACAAGTTTCAAGGCTTTTCCAGAGCAAAAAGCTTTAAAATGGGATGCCCACACTGACTATCCAAAATATCTGAATATTTGTAGTATTTAAATAACTAAAGTAATTTTATCAATGCCAGAGCAGATCAGACAGCAAAAGCGGAATTCGGCTAAACAAAAGATCGTCCACTTTCAGCAAACACCGAGAAGCGAAAAATTTGTGGATGAGAATGAAACAGCAATTATGGTACTGGTAATAATAACAGTAATAGTCTGCGTGCTTTATGCATTTGTTGCGTATTTGATAAGCAAAAATTTGCAAATTTGGACAACTCTAAAGCAGGAGGAGTATGAGCAAGCGCTCCGCAGTCGAGAACTGGCAATTACGCGGGTCGGAAATCGAGAAAACCGGAAAGAATTTATACATCCTGAGGCATCTCAATGATCAGATGCTGGTCTAAATACGTTTTTTTTTCGAACATTTTGGTCCACTTTTGAGCAAAAATAAAAGAACCAAAATAAAAGATCATCGAAACGACCGTCGTATTCCAACATAGAAGATGCTTCAAAAGCTTCACGCAGAGCATAATAAATTGCTTCAATGGTTGCCAAATGATATTCCGATAAACCCCTCTGAAGTAATAAACGAAGATAGAGAACTTTTTTTTTAAAATAGACCTACACATTTGCCTTAAACAAGCAACAGAACTCACTGGAAAATTATCATAAAAATCGTGCTTTATGACACTTATTAGGTGAATAAGTTAGCGTAAGAATTCTAGCCATATTTAATTGTTCAGTTGTTCACATGTCAAAAATACAACAGGTTGTCCCAGTCACAGCTTCAGTGCACATTTATTTTCACAAACTGTAATACGTCTCGCAGACGGAGCCTTTTTTCATTGAAAATGGTTATAGACCGAGACAGAATTATTTTCACATCCGGACGCGACGTGCTCAACCACTGCGCCACCGATCCTATGTGCTCCACGTGTCTGCTAACGCATCTACACTCTGTATGTATGGCACTCCCATACACACTCCGTATTGTCTGGTTGCCACATTCTGTACAGCACACCCTTTCAACAATTGCCGGCTTTTCGCGAGACTTCCAGACATGCCAGCGGGTCAAGCCCGCATCAACTTATTTGCGCGCAACTCCGGGAGGACCATCGACAACATTGCTGGCAGGTGGCTGCTGTTGGCATCAGCTAGCACTAGCGCCACTACCCGAGTGCCTTCAGCTCTTGCTGAAAGCGACACATGGAGGAAGGGAGAGGAGGAACACAGAGGGGAGGGAAGGGGAGTTTCATCTTCATGGCCCGTATAGAAAAATTAGAAGGAATTGAATCTGAGGTTACAGATGGCAAGAAACAAAAAAGTCCGAAAACTGTTTTCATATTCTTTAGTTCTACACATAATGCATAAGATGCGTAGGATCGCAAATTCCAACTTGAAAGCGGAAAGCTGAACAATTTACCACAGATTTTCCGCTCCAGAGTTGTTTAAGGCAAATATGATATTGCCAATTGAAATCTTTTATTAGACGCAAAAACGCATAAAAATCGGTTTCTTAAAAAAAGAATATGTGTGCGTAAAAAAGTAAACCTGAGGCCTCCAGTATTTGGTCCGATATGACTTCAGAGTTACAAGAGGTAGATTCCGTATTTGTGGGAGCATCTTCAATCCACCAATCTGAAAAGAAAATCTTTGATTCACCACCAAAGAAATAATAGCACGTTGTGACAAGAGGGAGTTGCAGTCTCTTGAAAATAGAACCTGAAACCACGTTGAATCCAAAAACACAAAACGTTTTATGGGACCTCGCTTCTTTACATAATCACCAACGGACAGAGCGTTTTCGGAGTAGGCCACAAGAACCTGAAAAAACATTTAGATTTCTGCGATACGGCAGTGCAAACATCCGGAAAAAAGAAGAGTGCTCCGTATTTTTAAAGCTGTAGGATGATCAATATACACTGAAGCAGCATTTTTAAAGAATTTTCATAAAGAATATAAACTTCTCTTCCCAATCAACAGTTTGGTACCAAACTTCTGGCTGTAGCAGCGCTATAGCGTTGTAAAAGAAACATAATGGCGGTCCGACGTTACTGGTTTAAGGCACGTTATAGTAGCCTAAGCATAGTAACGTTCAAGATGAGATGGTGACATCCCAAAACGGCTAAAGCTTTGCCAAGTACACATCTAATAGAAGAACCGCTGTGCTGGGAACCTCTTCAGGAGATGAAGCAAGTCTAGGAACGCCAGCAGGCTGACCAACATACGATGCAACACTGGTCGAAGTAACTGGAAAAGTTACTAGCTGCATGGACGAAAAACTAGATCATAAAAATTACAACAAATCCAAGCATCTTAATAAAATAACAGAATGAAAAGGAACGGCGATAGAAGCCCAGCCAAAATTGGTTACACCGAGCGGTGTTAACAAGAAGGCCGGAGCTGTAAAGTGGTGTTATGCGGCCGTAAGTAGGCCGAAGCTTACTTTGCGAGGTAGTGGACCATGCTAATCGAAGGAAATCCAAGTAGTACTACAAAAATGTAATATATCCAAGTAATATAATAAAAAATGAAAATGGTAGAAGGCTAACGAGGTATTCCGAGAAAACCACAATTTTCGAAGCGGTAAATGGGATGGTGATAGAACAGTATCATAGGATAAAGGCTTCCTTATCTTTTAACTTGAAGTATATTTTGCACAACTTCAGAGAAAAATTGAATTTTCAAAAATTGTACCGTATTTTCCTGTTTGTATTTTTCGGCATCGTAATCAGGAACGTTTGGAGAATTAAATAAAGTAGTTGAAGAGGGAGCAAGTAGAAGACAGTGCAGTGCTGTACTTTTGCTGTTCTTTTCATTTGGATGTTTAATGATATCGATGAATGCCGGTAACTGAAATCCATTTTAATCCTCAATTTTACAGTCTAATTGGGGCTTTTGGCATCCACTCATATGTACAAATTTCAAAGTCGTTGGATTTCAACAGCGCACCCGTTGAGTTACAAGGTGTGGTAAAAAAATCAAAACTTTCCTTATTTCACTCAACGAAAAGCGGAAGCACTCAAACCGGCTCTGGTAATAATACCCAGCCAGCAAGTAAGCACTAACAAAAGAAGGAGAAGGAGGGGAGGGGGCAGTCAGAGGTTTGTAAAAGCTTGGTGCTTACCAAAAACCCCTTATACGGTGTTACTAGTCATTGCTTCAGCGATGAAATTAATACATAGGCGCAGCACTTCCAGGCTCGATTCTTCGCCCCTTAATTACAAAATCAGCGATTTCTATTGTTCGGCATTTTTTCGGATTTTATTCCAAACTCCCAAGTTTTTAAATCGAGTTCAGGCGAAAAAACGAGAATGCATTCACCAAATACGCCAATAGCAGTAGTCAATGCGCCTCATAACAAAACCTGTCTTAAAAAAAAAAAAAAAGAAAAAACTGAAAATCCAAAACTCCATCCCCTTCCACTAAAAATAAATGACACATGTCTACTGCCTAGACGGGAGCGATTTTATCATCTGCATCAATTTCTGTCCTAAAGCAAAAACCTCATCTTCACCAAATGAGAAAGCAGGGGGTTCGAGTTTTCAAGAAATTCAAATACAAAAATAACAGTTTTAATTCGAAGCATCATACAGCTGGTGACCTTCTTAAGAATATTGATCATTTTTAGTCTGTGTATCTTAGCGCGACTAACGTATCTTATTCCACTGGACATTGATGAATTTCGAAGTTTTTATGAAAAAAACTGGCCAACACTAATCATGACTGAAAATGTGAACTAAGGTAATAGCACTGCTGAGCCAGATGGGTAGCTACTTTCTCGTAACATCTAGGACTGCACACCAGTTACTTGGAGGACTTTGATGAAAAAATTACAAAAAAAAAAATTACCCTCAAGTTTGGGACTAATTGCTCCACTCCTGGCATGTAGATCTTGCAGTCGTAACAAAAATACATCCTTTTTCGACCGCAAATCGAGCAAATCTGGCGCTGCAAACCCGCCAAGCCATTCATATCTGACAACTTAAGTCCATCCATCACCCAAATCTGTAGTTTCGCCATATTTGAAATTCATCCCCGGCAACCCAGAAATCGAAAGATCAATCACCTCGCCAGAGAACTGTTTCATGGATAAAAAGCACATATGAGGAATATTACCCGCCGCAATAGAACCAGTAATTTAGAACTGCATTTTGCCGCTTCCGAGGAGTGTAAGCACCTGATGCGATGGAGCGCTGATGCCTATCATCAGTGCTGTGACATGAATTTTACGCTACAGGCACCTTAAAACAAGGGGATGCTCGGAATCGAATTTTTGAAATTGTTAAGGAAACGAATGTAAACCGCCAGGAACCCAGACCTCAGCTAATGAAAAATTGGGAAACTCTTGCAGGACAAGTATTTTGAAAAATTCACACTTTAATTAAACATCACTTTCGAGAAACTAGCACTGAACGAGTGGGAATGTTAATGAACACTTCTTCAGGCGCAGCAGTTTATCCATAAACTTCATTTTTCAAAATCAACACACATTGTCGCGAGGAACAATGAAAAAGTAATGAAAATAGAATCCCTGGAAAGTAATTAAAAAACTCGCAAGTAGTAGAAAAAGTAATGTTTTTTCCA